AATACAGGTGAGAGTGCATCGGTCGATTTATGTCAATAAGTTCGTTTTTCGTCTTACTCTCTCTCTCTCTCTCTTTTCATCTTACTTGTCTTTAAATTCTTTTACACAAAATTGTAACAAAAATGTTAATTTAGCTTGCACACACATATATGCACTTGTAACAAATTTAATGTCGGAATTAGTCATTTTCTTCATTCTCTTTTCAATCGGTAGATTCTTTTTTCCATGGTTTGCTTTCCATTTTAAATGAATTGTCACTAAACAATGGCACACTGAAGATGTTCTCGCCAACCAAAAGAAAACAATGTACAAACAAAAAACTCTTGGTGATAATCTTTGAATTGTATACTTGGCTCTCGAACTCTCCATTCGCTCTAGTTTGGTCAATCAATTGACAAACAAAACGAGAACATGGTTTTCAGTGTGTGTTGTTTTTTCTTCAGTGTGATCGATATGAGTGATAAGGAATGGCTCACAATAATCTATCTGTCTCTCTTACTATTATTGTTGCTTTCCGGATTGTGTTTTATTCTTCAGCTTTCGCATTCTTCTTTTTTCAACATTTTACTTACAGAATTCGATTTGTTCGATCGTTTTTCTCTTTTTCTTGTTGTTTTTCGTGATATTCTTTGTCGCATTGCTTTTGTTTTGCACTCATTTGTGGTTTTTGTAATTTATCAAAGCCGATCATCAATGCCCATTAGGCGAAACAACACAATACAGAACATTGTTTTCATTTACCTTTTTTTTAAAAAAAAAAAAAAAAAAAAAAGGAAAATATGCACAAAGTTCATTTGCACCAGTGAAACACTTCATAAGTGGAAATTCATTCATACATTGCCATCGTATAGTTTTGGCCATTCATGATTTATTTTATTTTCTTTCATGCATTTTGAACGAATTCTACTCATTTCATTCTGAAACTATACGAAATATTTACAACTACTTTACCTCTTTCTTTCTTTTCCTCCTTCTTTTATATTTGCTTTTACCGATGTTTTTAAGTTGATTTTTGATGTTATCGCTTGTCATCGTCCTTTGGTTACACCATTTAAAATGTAATTTGTTTTGCCAATATTATGCGCATACGAAATTAATTGAGTGGCAAAATTTAATTTCCCGTATGAAATCATCGTTGTCCAGTTTCACTTCATTATTGATGTGTAAATTTATTTTGGTTTAAGTTTTACTTGGGACACGTTCGGTTCGTGTTGTGTGCACAAAAGGCAAATTGTCCAATAAAATAGTTCATCTAAATGATGAGAATGGCTATTTAGTCAATTAAAAGCATTGCACGCAACGGATAATTGCTGGGAAAATTGTCAGGGGAAAAGAGAGAACAAAAGCAATGTTGAATCTATCGAACAAAAATAGCAATCGTGCTCGACAACACACATACACATAATGAAGCATCTTCAATTTTTGGCAGTCGTTTTTCTCTCCCTGTTTCTTCAGCTTTATTCACTGCCGCTATCTGCCCCCCGATTACATTATTAAATTTTATTCGATGCTATCGCATTGATGTGTATTGGACGAAATTAACTCCATACGCACAAATACAACACCAATTACATTATCCCCGCTCCTTAGAATGGCAACTGTTAGTGTCGTCTTTCCATCTTTTTTACGCCATCCATGGTGGCGCATCAACATTTCAATCCAAAAAAAGGGAAAAAGAAATATATAGCCACTTTCACCACTTTGAAATTGTGTGGATAAGAAAAGCTGAAGTTAGCACGACATTCACTTGTTAGCAAATTTAAACGTATTGCTTCGATCCATTTATTCGTTTATACGAGCACAACCATTCACTCCGTGGAATGGAAAATAATGTAAATACACATAACGGAAAATGTGTATGGTATGGGAAAATGGGAAAAAGAAGAAGAAAAATAACGCGCTGTGTGCACACACATATTTGGTTGTGCAGAAAGTCATTTAGCCTATCAGCACCTTCCGCCGTATGATATCCAATAGAACCAGAGAATCGGATATAATAAATTCGCCGATTGATGTACACACAAGAGACAAAAGAGCGCATGTCCTCAGCGAATATAGCCTCACATCGTTCGTTTAACGTTGCCGAACATTCTGTAGCATCTTCAATATGGTTACATGCCTTTCCGCATGGAGAACCGAAATATATGGATGTTTGCATTGCGTAACGCTAACGTCTAGGCTAACTTATATCGAACAAATAGAAAATAGAAGAAAATGTCCAACAAAAGATCGCAATCAAAATTTGAAAAAAAAATCGACGTTTTAATGAAATTTTCGTCAGCAATAAACGTATTTTTTGCAAAAGAAAAACGTTTTTTTGAAATGCCATCTTCGGAAATTTGACATTGAAAATAAATGTTTTTAAATAAAATCAACAAATTTTTATCTTATTCATTGACTTTTACCAATTTTACTGTCCAATCACCTATCAGCAATAAGATATTGTACAAATTTGGTGAAAATTTAATATTTTTATTATGGTTCATTCAATTCCCCATAAATATGACGAGAAATATCAAACGAAACTATTTTGAGCATCTTTTTGCTAATGTTTTGGATTGTTTTAAAGAATTACAATTTAGGATTTTAACTTTGAATTAGAATAATGATCGTGTGAATCGATGGATTTTGCCATGAATGTTAGATTTGAGAGAAAAAAACTTCCTTATATTACTGTTAGCCATGTTTGATTAAATTTTTATATGAATACAAAGGATTATAAAAAGCTTATAAAATCAACAAAATTTTAGAGGATCCCCATGATGGCTAAGAAATCACAATGATATGATTTGAATCATCCCAGATACGTACCCGAATATTACGAAAGTCAAATTTTCCAATAATAGGACCGAATTTCTGATACTTGTGACCGAATGGTCAGATCTTTTTTTCGACAATTTTCTCCAAATGGTATATTAAAATCGCAAACATTTAACATTGACGTTCGTATTGCCGAAGAGTAGATTAAACAATTAGCACTTTTTTCCGCGAAAAATGTTTCTCTGTCAACATCCGGCTTTAGGTTTTTTTCGTATGCAAATATGAATTAAGATTTATATAATAAGCTTGAAAATATAGAATTGTATGTCTTCAAAGAAGAAGATGATCTGTGTCGCGCCAGTGTGTCGAAAATGTAAAAACGCAAAAGAAAATAACAAGACCCACCAGAGAAAGTCATTAACTCTTTATGCTGTGTTTGATCTCACCTTTGCATAGTTTTTGTACTTCACAAAAAAAGGATAGAAATGAAGAAAGACATTCAATTCATTGAAGGAATAAAATGTGTCGCCTTGGTCATTCAGTAGTCCAACATCAAAGCCTATCAACCATTTTAATCGCATCTTAGAATTTCAAGTGATAGACTTTTTGAATGACAAAACCAAAATATTCAATATAATCCGTTACAATAACATTGCAATGACAAAAGACTTATCTGTTGGCACCATAAAACAATCGGACGTTGAAGCATCCACATATGCATACTTGATAACCCTAACCTCATATGAGCAAAAATGCGAATGAGTTAAGAAGCAAAGACACGCTGAACTCACCTGAGAATCATTCATTTACACTATACATCTTTCGAATGGACAGGTAAATTATACTCTCAAAATGTTGATGAATGAATTTTGTTCATATAAAGGAAAATATCGTAAAATTTAATTGCTCTCATACAATTTGTAAAACCACAAACCCATAAGTGAGTCACATATGGTTTTATTGACTTCAAAAGTCATAAAATATGTTTGTTTTTTTTACCTGTTGAACCAAATATGTGAGTTTTTCATAATTTAACCTCAGTTCCGTGGAAATTGCGCATTAACAAATACATTATTTGACTACTGATTGAGGTAAAACGATATCATATCTTTAAGTGACTTATGTTGCGGAAGAAAGATCACACATGAGTTTTTGGATAAAAGAACTCGTAACCAAATCGAACGGACCAAAAATTCCCAGCTTTACTTGGTTTATTGGAAAATTCAGCATAATTTTGTGTCCAATATGCACCTTTTTTTAAATGGACACGTATGCAAATCGGTATGGATGTAAATATGTTCACGGTGGCAATTTTTGTTATTTTTTTAAATTAAGAAAATGTATCTTGATTTGAGATGTTGTATAAATCAAATAAATTTTGAATAATTTTCACATTCACATAAAAAAATTAATTTTTTATTATAAATTTTTATTAAATTTTATACTTAAAAGTATCATATTGTATGATTGTATTCTATTTTTTTCTATTACATATGTATGACATGAATGATTGAAAGCCATGAGCTTATTTGTCTGTAGATTTCTAATAGAATCAGGTTATACCGTGAGATGAGTCTATTCTCTTAGAGGAATTGGTATTGGACATTGGTATATTTCAACTCTGTGATTTTTATTGAATGTACTTCCTTTTGACTTCCATTTTAGTAGTTTGGATGTCTAAGTTTATGATTTCACGTTAGAGACACGTAATCAATAAATGTTACAAAATCGAAATCTACGAACATTTATGTGATAAATCCATATCCAAGTGGATAGACCCATCTGACGGTATTCCCTGAAAAGAATGGACGAATCGGTTTAGATATATACCTTAAAGCTGAGTAAGTTCCATTCATTTTGGTGCATGTAGAAGCATTTACTGCAAAAGCATTACATGGCTTTGTTCAGAATGCTCAAGAGCGGTGTGTGTCACATATACAATTGACGAAGCACATATACAAAGAAGCCCATTAGTGTTGAGACTGTGGCACATCGTACGACAAGAGTACAGAGAGGCCGAATGAAATGTTATACGAATACACGTAAACAATTTTCCATCATTGAACACACCACCATAATCGTAAAGCATACAAGCAAACAAGACATTCTACCCCCTGAATGAATGCGGTCGTGTGCTCGTTTACGTTTGTGTGAAAAATTGTTAAAATATTTATTTGATGAAATTAGCGCTTGCAATTCAGTTGGTGGTTGCTCGTTGAAGAACGATGACGTTGATTTGAGACAAGTATTTTCACTTAAAAACATACATTTTCTTTACGATTTTTTTACAAGTTATTTATTCCACATGAAACAAGTGCTAATACAATAAATAATTTTAGTTTTGTGGATTTTTTTTCTTGTGCCAAAAAGAAAACAATTTTTCGCATTTTTTATTGCAAAATAACCGCAAACACTTTTTAAAAAAAAATTGAATACTTTGAATAAATAGAATAAGAAAAGAGTTTGTGATCAATATTATATTTGGAAGAAATTCAGTGAACAATTTTTTCCATAGTTATTTTAACTATAGTGAACGAATAGACGAAAAATTAAAAGAAAAAACATTCACCATGCGATCATCACAGAATGAAACAATATCCAAGCCGAAAGGTGTTTATAGCATCGATCAAATATTGGGAACACACGATAGGCAAAATAACAACACAATGGGTAAGTTGACAAATTATTACATTACTAAATATTTGATTTAATGTTTATTGAAATGCGACTTGAAGACGAAACGAAACATATACATGCAAATCGAATCTGTCGTCTTTGGTTTCCGTTCTCTTCTTTCACCACCTGTTGATGCATACTAATTTGTTAGCCGTCGGCAATATTTTTGGGCTGATTTAAATTAATCATTTACCTAAGCAAATTAATTTGGAAAAGCATAAATTGAATAAACATCGACACAAAATATCGCACCTCAAGTCGTAATATGCTGCCAGAATGTCTTCATTTTTATGAGAAACTTCGATTTCTAATCATTGGAGATCCAAATTCTTTCGCTCCCGTAAAAGGAAATATGATGTTTGGATAACAAAAATTTTATAACTTAATCAGCACTCTCAAAAATATTAAATATTGAGGAAGATTGGCCAATGTTCAAAAATATTTACAATAATTCGTTTAACTCTCAACATAAAAACAACCAAATTCGAAAAAAAAAATGGAACTTTTCGTTTTTCAATGTAAAATTGAACGAAGAGTCCCTTTTACTGAACCTATGCAATGCACTAGGGCGCGAAGAATTCTTGAAGAAACTTCAGTAGTCAATAAAATCGAACTAGCGTGGCTGTCGACAGAGTGCAAGCATCTCGAGCGCTACAAATGTATTGCGTTAAACATTAAGATTTCAAGGAAAAATTAAATTGATGCGAACCTGCAAACAGGGTAACAAAAGTGTTTTCACTTTAACAGTAATTATTATATAAAAATTTCAAGAAAATTTTTCATACTGATGCAGTATTATCCCCTAATTCTAACTATAGCAAGAATATTTAATTTAATGTGAATTACAGCATTTTGGAAGATATATTTCAGTCTTTTTTTTTAACTATAAAAAACTATGGAAAGGAAAATGTTATCCAAACCCCTTTGTACGTATGATGTTGTTAATATAGAATAAATTTTCTGGACCATACCTTTGGACATACAGGTACGAGTGTGACATTTTTCAATTTGCATAAATTCACACTCGGCCAGCTTTTTCTCTGTTTACACACTTCATCTCATTTTCAATGACTTCCACGTAGTGGTTTGAAATTCTCTTAAATATTCAATCATTTTATAATTGGCTGTTAAAATCAGATTTATGTACATAAGCATGTATGCGATACATTATGCATTCATGATTATTTGCTTTTTCGTACATTATTCCGCAAAGCGACCAAACAATAATGAGATTCAATTCATTCTCTCTATGCTTTCGCCTTTTATGTTTTGTGATTTTTGAGGTATTTTTGATTGAAATTCTGATTAAATACATGCATTGTATTTATAAGGATATTTAATATCAATTTTTACTTCGTCTGCTCCAACATGCCAATTAAAATGAAACGTTTTATGAATGTAACGTATTTACGATTGGGTGTGTTTTTTTCGGTGATGCGGAAGAGAAAAAAAGAAACTGATTCACAGCAGGAGCTAGGTGAATTGGTGATCGAGACTATTTGCCTTGGGGGACATAAAGGCCAAAGACACACTTTGACATCATATACATATAAAAGCACATTTTTATAGCGAGGTTAATGAGATTTTTTCTATTATTATTTATGCCGCGAAACAGTGAAAGGATATGTTAGCTAATTGATGTGGTTTTTGAAGTAAATGGATTTCAATGTTGGTTATGGAATAGCTGTTTCATTCAATCAGCATTTCTAGATCAAATTTAATACAAATTTATTTTACCAATAGTTTTACACAAAAACGGGGCAGGTGCAAAATTTTCGTAGCGTCCTAAATTTTATATTATGAAAATTAATTTGGTTGATTTAATTTTTGTTTTCTATAGACACCGATAGTCACATACAAAATGACAATTGTCAATCAGATCATGAAAATGGTTTGGACATTGAAAATGACGATGATTATCCACTGATGAGCGATTTGGATGTTGCTGATCATGATCCCAATGACATGAGTCGACCACGTAAAATAAGACGGTAATTATCAATTTTAGTTTAGTTAAACAAAAAATCAATTGGTCATAGAGTTAAATTGATGCGCTTATTAGAAACAGTAAAATAAATATATGATTTTCTTTTGTTTTCTAAGTAGATCTAGAACAACATTCACCACCTATCAGTTACATCAATTGGAGCGATCATTTGAAAAAACACAATATCCCGATGTTTTTACTCGCGAAGAATTGGCACATCGATTGGAATTAAGCGAAGCTCGTGTTCAGGTAGAGTGCATTTTAATTACGCTTTTTTTTACTTTCATTTTATTTGATTGATTTGCAAAAACAATTGCAAAAGCTTCTCTTCGAACGCTTTGAAATATTTTTCACGCTTATAAATCCTCACATCACATTCTTGAAAGTCACCACATGTTTGATATGAGTTCATTTTTCTTTCAAAACTTTCTTCAAGTGTGAAAAATTTCAACATCCTCCCCGTCAATATTGCGCAAGCATTCAATATATTTTTTGCCAACGTCTCTAATCCATGTAAATTTGAGGTTTCAACAAAAAAAAAAATTATTTTTCCATAAACAATGTTAGGTTTAACATTAAATCGGGAAATGGTTACGGAGGAGTTGATTTAATGCAAAAAAGTGAAGAGTTTTCAAGTTCTTGATTATTTGAGTTCAAATCACGTCTAAGCGAAACTCATTAAAAACATTTAAGTTGAACGTTGTTTGTGCCAAAATTGATATAACAAATAAAAAGCAGCTCAAATACTACGTGACAAAGCCAAAGTGTTTTAAAATTATTGATATTAAATTTGCCACGAAACAGTTCAGCGAAACTGTCTATCTGTGTTTTCTGTACAAACATCTATAAACAGAAGTTTCGACACTCAATGATTTGGTTCACACACACACACACACACATATTTATGTATATAATTGGTGTACGGCGCAAAGAGGCGTTCCCAAAAAAACGTACCCTTTGCTATATACCATATACACGAGGATAAGAAACCACTGAAACGACAGTTCCTGTATCAAAATCGTATTAAATCATAAGGTATGAAATGAATAAACGATTTTGTAAGGAATTTATTGTTATCGTCAGCTTAAAAGTCACATGGTTCATATTTCTCAATGCCATTTTACTTAAATCTTTTTCACGTGTTTTATTTGACTATTATTATTTTCAAAATATGCAATGTCAAAATGTAAATATGCATATTTTATTCGGTTGGTTAATAAAATTCGAATTAAACTTAACATATAATTATGAACGAACAAAAGATTTACAATCCCTATTGAAATTCAAATTTTCGACTCACTGTGGTAGTTTTTACGTTTTCTTTTATGCTAAGAAAATCGCGTTTTCATGTCAAAGTGAATAAATTTCATTTCTTACTGACCTAAATAAATACCTCCGATTATTCTAAAAAGAGGCAACAAGAGCATTTCTCTTTTTTTCATTTCCGAAAATTATCAGTTTAGTACCAAATTAATTTCGACCAAACTTAATTACATGCGAATTCTATGAAAAAGTGGTGCAGAATGAATCATTTCACCGTGAAATATGTACGAGTACGAATACGCATATGTATATTGGATGGGATTTATTTTTAATGTGAATTTGATTGATTTCAATTGAATTTCGGTATTGTTTGGAACTCAATTGCCGTTGCGAGTTATTAGATATCAGGGGTTAATCGATGCTCTCATGGCAATCAACATCGCACAATAGTAAATAGGCGAATTAACAACAGCAATCAACGATATAAAAAAAAGCGACGATATCAAAATGCTCTCTTTTTTTATCCTCTCTGTTTTGTTGTCTGCATGTAATCGCTTAAACACAAACAACCCAATCAAAATTACGTGTACCTTTGCAATAGTCGACTGGTACATGGATGATATGTATGCGATGGCCTCTCATGGTCTGGCCGATTTCTCCGTGCACAGTTCGCAAAATATATAGGAACTTCGATCAAATGCACACACATTTATGAGCTGATGCATGAGATTGTTAATAACGTGCATACAGTTTCATTATAGTATTTAATTTATAAGCCCAATAATAATTGTCTGATCTAAATGTTGCACCTCAACTCTCAACAATCTATTTGCCATCCGTATTATCCTTGACTTAATTCAATCGCTGAGTTCATTGTGTTTGTGAATTGTGTGCGCACAACAGGGCAAAAATCCTCATTCTTGCTCTCTCACTTCTCTTCTTGGTGTGCGTTTCATCTTCAGCGAAATGGATGCAATTCCATATGAAATCACAGTGATATAAATAGATACATACATAAACCGACTACAATGGCAATGTGCAATGGGCGAGAGGGACAACCAGGCAAAGAGGACAATATGAATGCATTGAGAATAGATGATATTTTAAAGCGTTTCACAAGATGATTTCCCTCCTCTTTGTCTCTCTCTCTCTATCTCTGCGTGTATAACGGCTATAATTTATATTTCATATGATTGTATTTACACGTTTCGTGAATTGAAGGAAAAACAGCAAGTACATAAAATTCATGGTATTACAAATGCTTACATCACGTTACCACGTATTGGTTATGTGTATGATGCATGTGTGTGCGCGCGCGGCCCAGGACTTACTACGTATGAGAAATTATAAACATGTACATTGTATTTCGTTTCATTTTTTTTGTTCGTACTCTATCGCACCCTGTCTCTCCCTCTCGTTTATTTGCTCTGCTCTATTGCGTCTTTTCTCTCGCTCACTATTTGTTCAACATTTATTGTATGTATGGTATTACATCGAAATCCATTCAGATATATTGGCATATAAAATCATCATACACGTGTTTTTCATAGGCAATTATTTCGGATTTAATGTACTCAAATTGAGATTTAAACTGTTTAATAATTGTTGTGTGGATTTTGATACTTTTCAATCGTCCTCTCATATCTTATTTGTTGTCTTCTTTTAGCCAATGAAAATCAAATGATCCAGCATTTTTTTATGGTTTCATCTTTCGTTTCTCATTTAACTAGCTGGGCCTACAAAACATTGTGCATATTTATGCGTACAGTAACATCTATTTTTGTGCTCGTCTATTGTCAGCTCATGGCTACACAGCGGAAAAAAAGAGTGCGCGCTTACAATGCTACAGTTACACGCACAAAAAGATATAGATATATGGCTCAAAAAAGGGTGCACAATTTGAATTGAGTAGCCTGCCGTCTCTGTCTCCTTTTTTGTATTTTCAAGTATAAACACAATTATCGGCTGGTTAATATTCCTTCTACTGTGTCATCCAACCGTGTATATTCACACGCGCATCGATACAGAAGAAGAAAAAAAAAAGTTTAACGAACAAAACTGCAGTACACATATAGAAATCATTCGTCGGCGACCGATTTTGTTTGCAGTCATATTCAAATTAGCTGGCTTTGTTTTCGTTTTATTTCTTTATAATCAATTTAAGTGGAAAAAAAATCAGGCTTCCGAATGAAAACCGAAAATGACATTTTTATTTTGTTTTCATTTTGTGCAGTGTGTGAGAGAGAGCGAAGCGCTAAGTAAATCGCTTGTGTACACGAAATGGGGGTAATTTTGCATTAGATTAGTGTATGCGCGCGTTTGTTTTGAAATGAAGTCGCGCGCGAACATACGCACGATGTAAATGAATAACTGATATTTTGCATCACGAACGAACGAATGATGGAGAGTGCAGTGAATATGAAGCGCATTTTAATTCACTCACATCTTCTGTGGTGTTGTGGTGGCAATGATGGTGCAGCACGACTACCAGTAGTTATGCAAATAATTTTTAGGCGCGTCCTTAATTTGTGCGCTTGAAAGCAATAAATTTAAATACTTCCGCTTTCACTTAACTGTTAATGCCATCCAATGTAGTACATTTTCATATTAATGTTTTATTCGTACACAACGAACAGAAAAAAAAACATACATATATAAACTTTTATTGAGCAACTTGCCGCTCGCGCTCTCTTCGCAGTTCGCACATAAGTGAGTGACTTTTTGTCAAGCGCCCCAACACCAGCGGAGCCAATGATGGTGACGTTGATGATGACACCGTCACTGTGCTGAGCATCAAAATTACGCGATTTTGCACAAAACCATAATAAAATCTCGTAGCTGCCAGTTTAGGAATGTTCAAAAACAGAAAAAAAACCAAGAAAAAAACGGTTCCATTATTATTCGCATTCAACATTGATTCGCCCTTAAAATAAAAATACAATGGCAATAAAAAAAATTAAATTCCGACGTTGAAAAAAAGTCGAATTTTTTTACGTTTATGTCATGTGATCTCTTTTTTCCAACGACTCGCCACATTTTGAATTGATCGTATTTCGTTGCGCACTCATGACATTTTGCTTGGATTCAAAGCTTATGTATCCTTTTTTTGTGTTCTTGCACATGAATTCGGTCGGCTGATTTGCACACATGAACCCGTAATAATTGTATGCAGAACCACTGGATTTTATTCAAGGCTCGACCAGAGATAGACAGAGAGAGAAACAAAGGCGAAAACTACCCGTAACGACATATAGAAGCACCGATCGCATACTCGTTCACTGTATCCTTTTCTACATGCATCCAATTTTCTACGGCATTCAAACATTTATTGAATTGAATTGTATGAATTTAAATGATTTCACTTAGTGAATGAAAATACATTTAACTGAATCTAATTGACAATAAGCCCAATTATCTCGCCAATTATTTTAAAGATTGCGATTATCTCTCTGTCTCCCTACAAATCTCTCTCAATGTGTGTGACTTTGTATACTCTATCATTGTATTTGTCATCTCGATGAGTCGACAAGACTGTTTAACATTCGCAATGGATGTGGCGCGCAATACACACACCCTGCCACTGTTGAATACGACCGAATGCACGATAGATAGACAGATAATAAAGAGAATAGAAAAAAAACATACACACAAAAAGATAGCATCGACAGGAGGACGATTTTAACACACTAACAATTTGCTCATATCCACTTACGATTTTCCGCACGCTTCGCTTGCTATTCGACTTGACGGGCGTCTTTATTCACATTCAACCATTTCATTTGAGTTAACCAGCACAAATTGAATATATCTCAATTTTCGATTGATAATATTTAGTGTGTGTATTTATTAGATAATGTAATCCAATTCGGAAATGTGTTTTCTTTATGTGCTTCGTTCGAAAGGATATTGTTAAATTCGTTCGTAAAGTGTTTAATGATATCTAAATGCACAATCTCAATAGAATGTCAATTTATACGGTTATCGTGATTATTTTGGAATTGCAAAAGAAAACAGATAGAAAAAGAGATAGGGAGAGAGGACGAGAGAGAAAGATTGAGTGAATAACATTTATGTTTGACTTGAAAGCGAGGGACATTCGCATGGGAATCGGTGAAAATAAAAATACACATAGCGAAAATGAGAGTATAGCGAGAAAAAAAAAGGAAAACCAACGGAGAGACTAAGAGAGAGAGAGAAACGAATACGACAAATTACAACACAGTTGCCGATGCGTGTGCACTTTTTGTTCAGAGGAAACAATTTAAAGTTGATAAATTGGCTGAGCTTTATTGCTAAAACGACCTTATCTAATGAATCGTTATGTCTTTATTTGGTTGTATATTCACTTATTGTTTGGTTGCACTGATGAAAAATGTTTCGTTTAAATAGTAACAAGAGCCTCAGCCGCTTAATTTGTGCATTTTAAAAGCGATTAACAGTCGAAATTAGGTCTGACAGAGGTTGTGTTTTTTCCCCATCTCATTTGTCGGAAGTTTGAGTCGAAAAAAGCGGAACGAAGCCAATTGCATTTGCTGATGAACGAATGGAAATGAGAGATGAGAGAAACGACTTGGGGAAAAAAGAGATTGAATTCCAGTCTCTTAAACTTGATCAAGGCTCCTGTATGTATGTGGGAGAGAATGCAATGACAAGACCCGGTCCTGGTTGTAAAATTTTACGAACATTTATATATTTCCGATTGGGTTACATTGTTTAAAATAATACAATGCGAACAATTTGATAATGGTGAATATTGTTGCCACTCGTTCATAAAAATAGAGAAGGGGAGAGAGAGAAAACAACATCCATTCGACCAACCAACTAAATAAGCAGTCCAATGGATACATAATTCATGTAAGGGTCCGGGATTGCATAGGCGCATGCATTGAGAGAGAGATAGAGAGAGAGAGAGAGAGAGAGAGAGAGAGAGGTGGACAGTTTCGTTCTCCAAAGTTGTTGAAAGGCCTTGAACGATTCATATAACCAATTTTGGAACATTGGCACGTCATTTCATTCTGCTGATTTTGATTAATATTCTGCAGTCAGAAATTGGCCTTATACTTATCTATAGCAATTTATTGACAATTGGCTCTCAAATCGAATGGACATTGAAAACGAATGGAACAAAAAAAAAGGATTGTGTATCCCACAGACACGAATATGCATAGAAAATGTCTCATACCAAAATTCCTGCAATCCGTGTGGCCGATGTTGAATTTGAATAGAAAATGCTGGTGGCGTGCCGAATAGCGCTAGTGAGTTAAGTGGACTAGACATTGACGTTGTTATCGTGTGTTTGATTTTATGGGTAAGGCCATAGATCATTGTAATAGGTAAATATATAACACGTCGACTTATCCGTACGCTTTTGTCTTTCCGCTTTTGCTACTCTTTGTCCATCTCTCTGCCATTCACAACATTTTCGCACTGTGATATATTCGATAACTTATTGACATCGTTTGATGATTGAATGCATCGTCGACACTCGAGATTCGACATCGTCATCGTCGATGGTTGGTTGTTGTCGATATTGTCGTCAATATGCACTTCGAATTGATCTATGTTACCAATGAGTGGAGCATTTATCAGTGGCAAATGTTTATTCTCCATCTATATACCATATTTCATACAATTCGTTCAATGTACGCTGTCGGTCACGATAATAAATTGACAATTCAATTTTATTATGATAATTGTTATTGCCTATTATTGGTGGCATTGTGCAACGGTACCGCACACACCACTTTTTGATGATGCAAAACCAAAACCGAACTCGTATGAATGTTCAACCGAACACTCCAAAACGGACACGACTCACAAATCGAATGCGCGCACACATATATATAAACACACACACTATGATTTTTGAACATAATTATGTGCTTTGTACGGAATTAAATCAATAGAGTATAAGAACAATTGTTCATGTGTACTGTGCACAATTTATTCGCCATATAATTATGTTTCACAATAAATTCAGTGTTATGCATTCAAACAATATAGAGAAAACACATGGAAAAATGTGTACCCTCTTCTCGCTTTCGATGCGTCTGTTTTGGACGATGGGATCAATGCAACACGATTATTTGATGTGTGGACGACAAAGGAAATCAATTCCGTTTCGCATGAATTAAATTAAAAACTGTGGACATAATTGGCATTTTATTGAATTAAAATCAACAAAAATGCATGCTTCAATGCTTTGCATACAATAATGATAAAGCAATTTGTTTTTGCAATTTTTCTCACCGTTTTTTTCCCGCATTTTTTTGTAATTTTTTTTTGGCTGCGGCCAATACATTTAAAAAGTAATATTAATTTTGAATTTTTTTATATTTCTTGTCTATAACAGGTGTGGTTCCAAAATCGCCGAGCCAAATGGCGCAAGAAGGAAAAAGCAATGGGCCGTGATACATCAGTATATATGCATCCTGAACAAAGTGGATTACCCGAATTTCCAATTCCATTATCGATTCCGCATAATATCGCTGCAGCTGCGGCACATTCAACCGAATTTTGGCCGCAAAATTTTCCATTACATTCGACATTCAGCCCATCGTTGTTGCATCAAAATCTATTGCCAGCATATAAAATGCCAAACATCCATGCATTTCTCACACAATACATGGGACTCAATAATTTAGGTATTTTCAATTATCCACAAAGTTTAGGTGTTGGCCCGCGTATTAGTCCTCCAATGATGAACAATAACAGTAGCCCAAAAGAAAGTCCAACGCTACACGATGCAGAGAAATAAGCGAATCACTTTATTTTTCTCTAATCCAGCAAACCTCCCCCTCCTCCCACATTCACATTCGCACTCTCACATACAATCATACACGCAGCTCTTCCATTTTAATAAATTATTCGCCATATGAATGACGAAAAATAAGAGCAACACATTAATGCGACATCCCTAAGCAAGGAACAACCAAAACAACAATATTTATTTATAGTTTTAGTTTAAAATGTTGGCGATTTGTTTTGTATGATTTTGATTTGTGCATTTTCGTGACAACTAACGGGCGACAAATGAAATCGACAGAAAATCGCACAGAAATCAAGTGTAATGAAAATCTAGTATATGATTCAAACCAACTGAGTTACAAAAAAAAAATTAAACAAATCATACACTACAACAAAATCCACGCAAAGAAATACATCCATATGGATGCACAATTTTTAGTCAATAAGATTGAATGTATTAGTATAGTTTCAAATATGTGAAATTATATTGAAAAAACAAAAACAAATAAAAAGATCATACACACACACACGAAAGAAGAACATACGAAAAGACTTGACGAACGTATGAATAATAATAATTTGTATAAAATTGAATATTTAAAATTTTGAATGAATGGCATGCAATCTTACAGAGATACGGAGAATATTGGAATTATAATTTTAACAATTATTCCGACAAACACTCTCAATAAAGTGATTCCTTTTTTTTAGAAATGAACAAATGTGAAGCATAGCGAATTTTTGAAGAATTCTCTTCTAGTTTTATCTTCAGAGAAAATTGAAAAGGCAATAGTCCTTTTTTGTATGGTTTAAGCATAAAACAGATATAAAGAAAAAACGTGTACTTTTATCTTCTGACGTACAAAGGTGTTTGGTATTAGAAAAGCGAATTTATCGAATACGTTGACATTATTAAAATTCAATGGACGAAATGCCGGTTTCGAGAGAACAAATTTAATTTATTTGCAATTAAATTATACGCCACGCAAAATACAATTACCAATTCTATTACAGAAAATCTCTATGTTAAGAAATCCATTATGCTGACAACCTCCCCGAATTTATTTTAATGTAAAAAAAAATGTTTATTATAAAATATATGTATACAATATTAAAGCTACAAAGTAAAACAGAAAATTTTTCCAAAAAAAAAAAACTTTATTGGCATTTTATTTACTATGTTGTAGTTCTTTTTTTTTTAGAATAACATCGATTGGAAACATTGATTGGAAACACATACATGGACTTGTATAAAATCAAGAATTTTCAATATTTTTTTCGCATTGTTTTTCACAACAGTGTTTAGATGTTAAAATCCGTTTCATTCCATATGTTTCACATTTAAAGAAAATATGAATATCCTTTAGTTTTTACCAGTATGTAGTAAATAGATTTCTAACTGATCAAATCTCAATTTGTACCGTTGAATCTTAAATGCTTTTCTCTGGGATCAAATAGAAAACCTTCATCGTTGACATTTCAAGGTAAACAATTGTAAAAGATCGCAAACAAATAAATATACCCATTAACGCCTAAAAGTGATTACAATAATATGTGTATCATCCTTAGCTTTCTCTTTTCAATATTTACATGTTAAAAATTAGTGGGTCGTATACATTGTATTTCGGTATTGAATCTGTCATCGTTTGGTCGGTGGTTTACCTTGGAAAATGCTCATAAAATCTCTCGAAATACTTAATCACTTAAGCTGTGTATTTTATTTTTGTGCTGATTGTTATTCGGCTGTGGTTGGTTTTTCAAATCATATTCGATGATTTGAGTGAATATGTGGCTTGGCAAATTTTCTCTACGTTTACGCTCGATTCTCCTCTCAAATTTCTTTCATTTCTCATATTCATTCAAAACCAACTATTCGGTGTCTTTTTTTACCAACACGTCAAGAAAGTGTAGAAGACAAAATTCGAGTGTAATTTTGACCACGTTTTGTGTGTGTGGGAAAGAAAAACTGCAATGTTTCGTATTTCATTTGGTTTGTTTTCTCCGATCAAAATAAGGCACTTAGTGCGGCAATCTATTCATGACGCAAAAACGAAGGTCAAAAGAATATCACGACACAATGCTCATCGTACAAACTGATAACGGTTACTTTGTTACAAAAAAAACAACAACAAGTAACCGTAATACTTCTGTTTGATCAATTGGAATCGAAATAAAAGAGAATAAAATGTTTCAAACTGTGAGCCGATTTAATGACGGTGTTTACATTCGGAATATATTGAAAAATGTAATTGATATTTTACCGCGTTGATTTTTCTCGAAGGAAATACCGATTACAATAGACACATCACGGCAAAATAGCTACTGTTAAGATGGATAAAAGTGAAAATTGTTATTTTATCATCTGTGAAATGGATACAGATTTTTTACATTTGTCATTCGTTTTTGATTATCCGGAGGCAATTGTTGGAAAAAAGGAGAAAAAAAACACACACACACACATAATTTTCGGTTTGGCAAATCAAATTGAATTAAATGTTTCAAATGCTTTTTTATACTTTTTCGAATGTGACACACATATCATATTTCTCGTTCGTTCGTTGTACATTTGTTTGCTACAATGTTGAACAAACATACCGCATTACAAAACATCATTTGATTTTCGACATGAATGAATGAATGTTAGGCCAGGTTCATGGATCGGTCGATTTGACATAATTGATCCATACTGTCGATAAGCATAATATAATGTAATAAAAATGGGATATTGGTTTTCAGCATTTGTCGACTGGCAACAACGGCAATTATGTTTTCACAATTCTATATTGTTGAGTGTTTTCTTTGCATTGTTTGGATGTTTTGCATTTTGATAATAATTAACCAAATCGTTACCGGATACAATGATAACATCAACGGCACATTTAAATCGATATCTTAATGCCAACAGACGGCAAAACGATTGAAGAAATTGAAACGATGCGCTCACTTCAATGTAACACGATATTTCGTCTAAAGATGAAAGTAAATTAGTCTTCTTCTTCTCTTCGGGAAGTAAATTTTCGACACAAAATTGTGCTTTTCAAAAAGATAAATCACGTGAAAATATCGAATCATCCAACAGAGAAAAAAAAAAACAAGCCTTGTGAGAACAAAATGATAGTTTTGTGTATCTATTCTTATAATGCAATTGTTATGAATTAAAAGTTCATTATTTAGCATAGCCTCCATTTGAGCATACATGGCATTTTTGCAGATGTACAAAATTAAGTTCTTTATATTTATGATCTTCTTCTGAGTTCGATGGCAAATTAGGTTTGCAAAATAACATAACTACAAAATATGATTTATGCTTGACATGCTCATTGTGTCAGCATGTATCACATCAAAAATATGAACGAAAAATCTCTATATATATAATATTAAGAACCCCTGAGTGCGCGAAACAATGAAATCGACAGCAGCCGCGTTGGTACACAATGCACATATCGAACGAACGAATGAAAAAAAAAACTATTGAAAGAAAAAAAAAAAAGAACTTTGTACACACAGATGGGGAAATTATGATATGGTTTTTGATTAATCAATATGTGTAAGTAATTTAGGTGCAATTATGCTCGTAGAAAACCATTCAATACCGATGACGCGTACTGAATTAAACAGTTTTTTTTCTTTGCCGAAAACACAATCAAATGCTTCATTTCTATACCGTTGTCGCTATACTTTCGACCCATTATTTGTGCTCACCGCCGTTTGTTTCGGCATTGATTCTTTGTTTTCATCACATTAGCTTTTTTTTTAAATACATTCATTTCTCTTCAATCCTTACATCGACGCTCTCATTCATTTAAAACGTAGTAATTGAATTATTTGTACGAACATTGTTTGTATTGTCAATCAGTCAATAAAGTCTATACTAATATGCGTTTAGATTTCATGGGTTTTATTTTTGTGAATTGTGTATTGATTGGTGTGGAAATGAAAAGTCGAACAATGCGTAATTAAATGTGATAGTTCATTAAATTAAGCGAAATAAAAAATTTAGTAAATCATAATGAATGAATGGCATACGGTGTATTTTGTGAAATTATCAAAATTTCGTAGGCGATTTAATGTCGTGCCTCTGTCTCATCACACCAGCAAGAAAATGAAAACACAATACGTCACACATTTGATGCCAAAAATAATATGACGTGAATATGATATATATATTTCGCCAAAATGGGTTTGCATTTATTTTCGTATTTTTTTTTTAGCAACAATAAAAACGCTTCCACTTATATATCTCAGGTGACATGCTGTAATGCGTTATGCCATAAAACATCTGGTATAGATGCGGGCATTGCGACCGGTTTTCTTTAGCCGGCGCAACTGTGCAACGCATATTACATTTGATGCAATGCGTTGAATGGGTTATCAAGTGCTGCCTGTGGTGCCTTTTTTGTGTCCATACATAATCTTGATTTCGTTTCAAATGCCGCGAAATTGCTTGGCTCTGTGCAAATGGAACGAACAAATAAAAAAAAAACGGAGTTCGTCATAAGTATGTTGTCATTAAATTTCGGCTTTCGATTAAGCGCAACCATATCACATTCACATTGCTGGGCATAATCATGTCTCTGTGAGTGTGATAAAGGCACCAAATGAGTATAACGAATAATATTTCATTTGGCATGAGATTTTATTTGTATGATTCAGAGAAAAAAAAATGAGAAGTGTATTAATACCGGTATATTAGCTTGTGAAAGACGAAAAGGCATTAATGTGTCAGAGAGTGAGAGAGAGAGAGAGACAGAGAAAAGAAGTAAGAATGTCATAACAAATGCCATGATGATTTAAAGATGTAATTCGTGCAAATTACACTTGTATCCAGCCATCCTAAATCAGTCATTACATGGCACTTTGTATGTGTCTCCTACTTAAATTACATCGTGGCTTTTATTTTCTCTTGCGCTTGTGGATCTGTATCATTCATTTACTCTGCAAATTGTCGCCCGTTTCGTGGTGCTTGTGTTTCGTTTTTCTTCACATTTCTTTCGTTTTTTTTCAATGTGAATTTGCACGCAAGTAATTATATTGTCGTTTTCATATTGTATTTACATAAATCCATTTCTATTGCTTTTCCTTCCTATTCATCAGCAGTTTAAGTTTAATCAACGATTTAAAATTATACAACCATTCAGCCCAAAACATTCATAAATTCATCAATCGACAGAGGTTGAGAGGGTAGCAGACACTTATGATTTTCATGTTGATTTGTCGATTTTCGGATGAATGGGTGTGCTTGTGCTTAAGAGCGACAGAATAAGACTGTCTTTGTATGTAAATATATGAATGTACCGAATATTACATCGAACCGGTAGCCATTTGGCGAAAAACGAATCATGGCATGCATAAACGCTAGATTTTATTGTTTATCTTTCGGCATCTATATGCATCGATGTGTGTGTGTGTGTATGTGTGCTTGTGTGCGCGCGCCCCCTATTCCGTTGCTCAATTCACTCGACATCTTCATCGTATAATTCCATCTAAGAGATGTGAATTTGTTTCAAATTAATATTAAATTTGCGATTGAACTCAAACACACTTATGGCGAAGAGCAAAAAAAAAAATGTTTGAAAGAGCAGCAGTGTACGGTGCAAAAAACGGAGCGGGAAAGAGACTCGATATCAACGGTGATTGTTGGGCGCTCGCTGGCGAAATGGAAAACGAGCGAAAATGTGAGTGGCTTGGCATGACTGAGGAGGGAGAAAATAAAGTAAATCTTTTCATTTTGAATTTTAATACCATCAAGTGAACTTGAGTTATAATGCTTTGACGACTTCAATGTTGCTTTCACAGAAAAAGAGAGCCAGAAAGAGAGAACGTCCTTTCCAACAAATGAGACCGCGTCATTAACTTGTACAAATTTTGCGGTCGACAAAATATATTAAGTGAACATTTTCGCGTACACTCACACTGGTGTCTGTCGGTGTATGAGTGAGCATGAGTTGGAGCAAATGAGTGCGATCAGCATATATCCACAAATGGCAACTAAATACACTGTCAAGCTGAAAATATTTAATGCATTTGCATATGATGCTGATGACTCATTCGTTCTTTCGCCATTCTCAATTTGCAATAAATTGCTATTTATCTTTCGATTTTTTTTTTGTTGGTTTTTCTTTTTCTTAGTTTTACCTTCGATGTCAAAGTTTACTTGCATCCAAAATTTCCATTTTGATCGAATAAATTTTGGTAATATCCGTTATGTTTATAAGTAATCAAATCAAAATTGAGGTTTAATTTAACAAATCAATGCGGTAAAGTCGTTGGTGTGGGGGACTTAACACAATTGCAGCGTGTGTTGTTAACACTTGAAAGTAATTCCATTCATGCAGATGCTTAATTATGATTTTATTATTTATTAAATTTCAACAATCTTCTCGATTGCCCCATACACTGCTAATGCCTTCATTCAATTGCACAAAATGGATGAAGAGACAGAGAATGAGAGAGAGAAAGAGCAAAAAATGTAGAACAAAATACCTACTTCACTATTGACTGATTCACTATTGTGTCAATAAAAAAAAATTTAATAAAATCGAGTCAAACGTTGAGTCGTGTTGATCAACAAAGCAGGAAATAAACTCCGAAAATCGAATAGGAATAAAGAAAAAGGAAGAATACACCGAATACAACGCACAATTCAATCCGCAAAGAGATCAATGAACAAATCGCTATTTCCATCTCACTTTCGTATTATTCATTGGGGCTGGTGCGAAGTTTGCATTCTCCTTTTGACATTGTTCTGCAGCATGCATGCCCGTGATATGCTATGCTTGTAATGAGCATGTGTATGTATATACTCTAGGATTGCTTCTGCTTCAGTGCGCATTTAATGTTTGGTGTTTATATTCACAACGTATACAAATAATAAATCATTATCGGGTACTTAAGAACTTTTTAAACATCATTTTGGTACAATAACACACGTATTTAGTTTTCGGTTTTTTTTTCGTCTTCTTTTGCTTTAAAATTTTGTGCGTTTTTTACACTTTTCACATTTGCCGATGCCGCTGCAAAATGCAACAAATGTTATTGAGAAAAAGTTGGCTTATCTTCACACTTGAAACTTTACCAAGCGAAAACAAAACGAAATCAAAACAACGAAAATCGTTTTTCTTCTTTTAAAATGCATGCGGTATCGTTGACATTCTCTTGAGTATGCTTTGTTCCTTTTGTCGTCGTTCAAAATGAGTTGAAGCAGTGCTGTGTTGTGCCGATGATGAAGAGAGAAAATCTTCATCGCACCCAAATAATAGATAAAAATAGAAACATCATATTGATGCTTAATGCAGGCACATACAGTGTAAAAAAGAAAGAGTATTACGACAAATGGTGCTACAAATAAGAAAAGACCATGTCATTTACACAATATGGCATTTTTGTAGGTGCGATTTTACACAAAGGTCTTTCTCAATAATGTGTATGTCACAAGTGTTGGAAACGTTTATTTTTTTTTTTGTGTGTGAATAATGCCGCTAATAATTTCAAGCTCAATGATGAAAGAGCAAGATAATGCTGAAATGATATTGAAAGTCTAAACATACCGATGCACATACACACACATACACGGTACCGCAAACACAATAACAGTAATAGAATGACAAAGGTGGCAAATTTGACAGTAAAGGCATTAGAATTTCCAATCGTAATTATTGAACAAAAATGAGCTAAATTAACCATAAAACCTGGGATAATTTCCATTTAAGCGCTCTTATGCTCTTCACATACCTACTTGAATTTCATCGAAAACAAATACAACCAATTCATTTGTCTCATCAATGATTTTTTCGCTCTTCCCTTCGTTTATATGTGGCATGATTGTAATAACAATTGATTGAATAAATATTAATCGGGGATTTTTGTATATTCGAAACAGCACGATATTGCGGTCGATTCTTTTTAGATCTTTAAATTGGAAAATTGAAATCTTGTTGCCATTATGGCAAATAATAAATCTGTTTGAGAAATTTTAAAATTGGAAAAAAAAAATAAACCTGCAATTAAAATGGGTTCACATTGATCGGTGAAAATCGATTCATTTTCTTTTTAGAAATAAATAACAGAGAAAAATGAATGAAAATTATTTTCTACACAGAAGATAAATAATCATACCAATTAATTTTCTGTAATTTTCATTTATATCATATACATTGTCGTGTATAATATACATCGCGCGCATTATGCGAATGCCATACGATCCGGCTCAATAACAAGCATCTTTACTCTAATGAGAGCATAAAAAGCAAAAATTGAGAATGAGACGAGAAAAAGAACTGCAATTCATTCATTGAAACATCGTGAATTTGAGAATTGCCAGTGTTTGTGTGTGTGTTCAAAACATTGAAGTTCAAAGACCACGCTTATGTCTCATCTCTATTTCTCTTCAATTTGCATGCAATGTATTCTATTTTAAATGGTTCCGTTTTATTTGTCACACTCTACAAGATTTAAGAATCTTTCGGCATAAGATCACAGTATTATTTTCTTCGTATTTTGCTTTGCAGGGCAACGTCGCTGTAAAAGTGATGTATGTTTATAACAAAGAAATTACATTAAAAGAAAAAAAAAGTAAAACAGTGAACACACAAAATACTACGTTGAAGTAGTGAAGGATATCGCACACACAATGAATAAGTGAATGAGTGAGTAAAATAAGAAAATGAAAATGCTGTTACACTGCCAACCCATGCACATTTTTAATTCCTTTTTGGTTCGATCGTATTTTTCAGTACTTTACACTTCATTTCAACATTCATTGAATTGCTCTGAATGCATTTATTATATTTCGGCTTGTGTTGTTTATACGCCGGCTTTTAAACAATTCCATGCATTTCTACATTTCTTTTTTTTTGAACTGGGTGCCAAAGACATTCACAACACATTGTCTTCTCGTATATTGACTGTTACATTTCTCTATCGCTCTCTTTCTTCCTTTCTCTTTCGTTCCCTCTTTTTTTAAACAGCATTTAAGTGGCATTTGTTATTGTTGTTAGTAATTTAGTTCGGCTTCTGTTATTTCGTCTGTTGTTTGTGTGTTTATATCGATCAAGTACTTAAAACTCATCGATTTGCACACATTGTTTTCGATTTTTCGAATACGTGAGAGATTCCTTTGAATGAACAAAGAAAAAAAGAGAAGGACTTTGTACATTGACAATGTATACACCTTGGGTGTGCGTAATTATCAACATTTTGTCATATTTTGAATTAAGTGCCGATCGGTATTCTCTTCGTTAACATATGCCTTTTTGAACAAAAACAAAATTATTTTATTCTAACCTTTGAAGCAATAAAAAAAAAAATAAAAAAAGAGTTTAAAGTTATTTTTACACAAATATATGCCTTCCATCGTAATAAGAGCAATCATATTATTTATTAAAAGTGTTGCTATAAAATCGCTTCTTAGTAGTGCTTCTGTTGCTCATTTTCCTTGATCAAGTGAAAACGTATTTGCGTTGATCTTCGTGAAACGTTACCATTTATGGTTATGAAAACATAACGTACGCCTTTCGTTCTCTCCTTCTTTCGCTGTGGAAAATTTTGTTTTAGTATTTTTTGGTTGCCTCATTTTCCTATGTTCTTTTTTTACATTTCTTTTTTTTTTAATTCTCGCACACATGCCTCGACTAGATTTTCCAATTGCTTCGATATTTCAGGCGTTTATGGTGTTTGCTTAAGTGAATAAAAGCGTCTCTCCGTTAGAGATTTTTGTGTAGGGGGGCGCGCAACACAGAACGCAAAATTGTCTGTGATTAGTTAACTCACATCGACATAATTCTCGTTGGTTGTGAAAACATTTACATGAAAATAACTAAAATGCTATACACGAAAACAAAACAAAACAGATGAGTAACAAAAAATAGACTGTGATTCCGATGCAGACATATGTACATTGACTTGATTGCTCTGACAGCGCTAAAAATACGACGAGAAGGAAAAATTATTGATGGAAATATGAACACAGCAACGAATATCAAGCAATACCAAATGCCTCCGTTCTCTTCGTTTTGCGCAATGAATGAACCGTGAAAATAAAACGGAACGAAGCACGAACAGTGCGTGAGATATATAACAACTGAGAGTTAAAACTATAATCGATGGGCGCAAAAAAAGAAAAAAATTGTGCCGTTGAAAGATATGTTTGAAGTTTGTTTGTGATATACGTTATTGAAAATGGTATATTTTTAGATTAATTTTCTGTCTCTACACAAGATAGTCGAAATGGACGATTGCTTGATACAATTTGGGAGTTTTCACATTTTTCACGTCCAGATTTGATGATTCAATTTAGAAAATCAAGGTTTTTTCACATTATTGTTAACATTTGACCCAATTCATGATGAATTGGTGAAATTTTTGTGATCATGACTAAATAGAGAGGAATGAATGTCTCAATAAAAACTTCAATTTGCTTTTTTTAAAATTAAATTCATTTATTATTAGATGTTATTAATGAAACGATATTGTTTGTATATTGTTGTTGTTGTTGTTGTTGCTGTTGTAGTCGTTAAATGTAGGTTTGTTTCGATGCAGTATTTACGATGAAATAAATATCTGTCTGGTCATTGTAATTGATATGATGCCAGATGATTTTGATGCAATTGGGATTGATGCACACAATAAAAGAATTAACACACTTAGAAACATTTGCGGTGAACGATTCCTGGACCGCTTTCGTCGTATTCTTCCTTTGAGATCCACATTTGTTGGAAAGTGGACAATGAAGCCAAGATTGAACCACCGATCCATACGGAGTATTTACGTTCTGGTGGAGCGATGATCTTGATTTTGATGGTTGATGGTGCCAATGAGGTGATTTCCTTTTGCATACGATCGGCAATACCTGGGTACATGGTGGTACCACCTGACATGACGATGTTAGCGTACAAGTCCTTACGGATATCAACATCGCACTTCATGATTGAGTTGTAGACAGTTTCGTGAATACCGCATGATTCCATACCCAAGAATGATGGTTGGAACAATGATTCTGGGCAACGGAAACGTTCATTACCGATGGTGATGACTTGTCCATCAGGCAATTCGTATGATTTTTCGAGTGAGGTTGAAGCGGCAGCGGTGGCCATTTCTTGTTCGAAGTCAAGTGCAACATATGATAATTTTTCCTTGATGTCACGAACAATTTCACGTTCGGCGGTGGTTGTGAATGAGTAACCACGTTCGGTGAGGATTTTCATGAGGTAATCAGTCAAGTCACGACCGGCCAAATCCAAACGGAGGATGGCATGTGGCAAGGCATAACCTTCGTAGATTGGGACGGTGTGTGAGACACCATCACCAGAGTCCAAAACGATACCGGTGGTACGACCCGAAGCGTACAATGAGAGGACAGCTTGGATGGCAACGTACATGGCTGGAGCGTTGAAGGTTTCAAACATGATTTGGGTCATCTTTTCACGATTGGCTTTTGGATTCAATGGAGCTTCGGTCAAGAGAACTGGATGTTCTTCTGGGGCGACACGCAATTCATTGTAGAAGGTGTGATGCCAGATCTTTTCCATATCATCCCAGTTGGTGATGATACCGTGCTCAATTGGGTATTTCAAAGTCAAGATACCTCTCTTGCTTTGAGCTTCATCACCGACATATGAGTCTTTTTGTCCCATACCGACCATGACACCTTGATGTCTTGGGCGACCGACAATTGATGGGAAGACGGCACGTGGAGCATCGTCTCCGGCAAAACCGGCTTTGCACATACCGGATCCTATAACGATAAATAAACGAAATTAATTTCAAATAAAACATATTCATTTCTCATTTTAATAAATTCATAAAATCATATTTGAACTCAACGCTCTGCTCTGTTCACATTTTAAATTAATACATGATCAATTTTTGATATTCAAATATCGATTAACATTTGAGGTCATTTTATATTTTAGATCATTTGAGCAAATAAAACGAGAAAATATAAGCTTTAAAACGTTATTTTACAATTGAAAACATTGCCGAATTAAAACTTTATAATTTAAAAATGATTGAAATTGTTTTCTCATCAATGATTGAGTTCACGATCACAGTAGTGGAACTTTGAATGGATTCATTTTTTTTTTTCAAAAGTTTAATCAAAAACTGTTGTTCAAAAATTATTGATGATTTTCAAAAACGGAAACTTTTCATTGGTTGGAATTCAAAATCCAATAATTGCGATTTATAATATATATTTTTTTTGATTCACCAATTTTCGTGTTTTCAAACATTTTGCTCAGACCAATGATTTCATTTAGTTCAACACTTTTTAAATGCTCAATGTCTCTTCAGGTTTGATTTTTTTTATCAATATCAAATTGCACAAAAAAATCCGAAAAAAGCACTTTTATCCTAATAAAATTATCGACGATATTTTTGATAAAATTGAAAGATTCAAGAATGAAAACGCACCATTGTCTACAACCAAAGCAGCAACTTCGTCGTCACACATTTTGAAATAGTTTAAAGATTTAACGTCCGCTCACAACAACGAAAAAATTTGAAATCTCAGAACAAACCGTCCTTCTTAGCATTTTGTACTTGGTTTATATACTCGGAACGCCGACAAAAATAGATTTTCATCTACCATCCGTACCGTATATGGAAGAGACTACATGCACACATTTTCTTTTTGTTTCATTTTCGATATTCATAATTATGTATGTTGCGGGTGTGAGTGTGAACATATCACCATATGCTCTATCATCGGGCCCCACAGAGAAGCGTTAAGTTTTTTCTTTAAAATAAACATCTTGAAACGTCAGCATTTTCATATACACACAGTTTCGATTGTAGCATATTTATATATTTTTCCATCATTTGAGACATAGATATTCAGGAAAATTATTCACCACTGGAATGTTTCGATACAATATTTGATTTCGGAATTGTATACCGAAAAAATTTCATATTAAATGTAAAAGAGCAATATTCATTTCATTTCGGCGCACACATTCTCAGAAATATTCCAGATATGAAGAGAAATCTGTTCTGGGTGTGTTTGTTTTTGCTTTCGGGAAAAAGTCGACTGTTGAATCTGTGTTGGTGTTCAGTTTTCAGCTTTCAAAAATCTCTTTTTTTTTTTTTTGAAAATATTGCATACACAAATTTTGCACTCGATGAATTCAATCAGAGAAGTATTCCAAGAATGTGTCAAAAGGTAATGAAAATAGAGAATGTTCACTTTTTCATCTTAATGAAATGTGAATTTTGAATGAATGCAAAATAGAAGTGACAAAGATATATGTATAAATCGTAAAATTAATATTCAACATAAAAGAATTCTTTAGAATTGTATCTCTCTTTGTTGCATTTTTCATTAAATTCATTGAAAAAGTTTTCCTATACTTTCCGATGTCGATAAATGCGTCTCAATCGCAAAAGCAATCTCTCACCCTCTTCAATTGTGTACATAGCCAGCCTCCATCCCATTTTTGGTCAATAAAATGACATCAACTTACTAACTCAAAATTAACTGGCCGTGCACATAATGCAGAGCATACGCTCTTCGGGGAAATTGCCAAAATAGATGGATAAAGAGGAGAATTAATTTTATTTACGATTGATGCTGACTATTAAATGATATTTATTTGATTAGTCGAATCGTGCATACAGTAGCAATGGCATTTATTTGGATGCAAACACTCAATCCCTAACATTTAATATGTTCTTCAACACGTATCAACTGGTTTTTTTTTTTGATTTATCCAAAATAAGTGAGAATCGGTTTTGTGTGCACAAGATCAAAGAGTAACACAAGAAAATGAATACCATACATTGCATTGAGAGAGCATTTTCCATTTTGTATTGTATAATGCAACAAAAATAACAATAACAAACAGTGTTCATTTGCTTGGTTCCACTCATTCGATTGACAATAAGGCCGAATTGAACGATGTTGCACTGTCAACCAAATTAAGTTTCTATTATTTAATAAAATCGAATGAAGTTCATCCTTAGTCTCTGTTCAAATAATTTTTAAAGCTAATAAAGGGCAATTCCATTGACTTGAGAAAGAAAGGGGCAAACATTGTTACATTGTGATTCAGACACACATACATACATGGCATATTTATTTATATCGTGTGTCAATATTTGCCATAAACATTCTTTGTCACGTGCTGAAAATAAGCAGTCAAATTTTCAAATTCACAAACGCATTTCTAATGGAAACCAAAACGAAAATCCAACAAAATCTCGTCGATTTACAAATATATTCACATACTGAGAACCATATTTATTTGGATATTTCCTTTTTTTTATTTCGTTGTTTAACAACGTAAAATGACATCGTCATAATAGGAAAAACACCACACACTATCGCATTTTATATGGTTACGGTGCATTACCATTGCCTTATATTCATACACAGTTCGAACAGTTTGAACTAAGTCAAACATGTGTATTATAAATATAAACATACAAATGGCGGCACGCAATGGCATGCGGCGGTAACACGATGTTGATACTGATGACATGGAGCAACGCATAAAAATAAACTCAAACTAATTCGAATAAAAAAAAAAAAGGAATTAAGTACGTATGTGCGAGAGAGAGGGGGAGAGATCTACATGATGTATTGCTTATATGGACCAACTCAAGCAAATTAAGAAAGAAAAAAAAACTCAACATATTCCTGTTGCTATAAGTATTTGATAATTTTATGTTAAAATGAAGTATTAGAAATGTGACGATCAAAAAAAAATGAAATTTCTACCATTTGATTTATTTCGATTTTATAGCATTTGTTGTTTAAACTTGGGAATTTGGACGTCCGAATTCATCATTTCACGTTTAAGATTCACCTAGTTTGAGCAAATTTTCATTTGCGGGCTCACAATTTCATGTCCGTTTTCCGAATTGTTTCAACCCAGTGTCCCATTTGTAACATTTTAATTTGAATTTATTCGATTAATCATTCAGAAATCGAAAAGATAATTGGCCAATCACAAAGTAATTTATTGTGTATACTCATAATGAGAACAAATTAATCATAATTACATTAATAAGCATGCTGATTGATATTTTCATACTAAGTTCAATATAAATTGCATTCGAAAAATTGAATTTTTCATTGAACAATTTTTTAAATTCATGAGTTTGAATGTATCTTTGCCAGCCCGGCCAAAATCATATTTTCTACCGTTGGTTTGCAATTGTTAGCTTATTAATCGCTCTCAATCAAAAATAAAAACGAATTTGCATTAGAATTCTACGCCAAAGGTAGGTTCAGTTAACAACATGTTTCATCCAAAACGCATCGAATCATTTGATTATTCGTAAAAAAGTGGATGAATCAAACGGTAGTGTACGCCATAGCCGTTCGCTATAATGTATTTCGTATTTCCTCAGTTAAAAAATTCCCATGAAATAAATTTATTGGATCGCCTTATATTGATTGCTCCTTCAGACATCAAAATAAGAAAAAAAGATAAACAATTTACGCTCACGTTGAGCAATAAACCGGTTGAAGAACGGTAACGCTTTTGTATTTAGATGTGAGCAACCAAACTGACGACAGCAGAAAAACAACAACAACCGTTACCGATATTTTTAACATATTCAAAATATTCCCTCCTTCTCTATCTGTTCACAGTTTTGCACTCCTAAAATGCTTCGTTGCGATCGAATGTTTTAATTATATGCTTGAGTCTTTTTTGTTTCATTTTCTCCTCATTTTCTCTCTCAAATCGAATTCCATTTTTAAAATTAGAACACAATTTTGAATCTACACTTTCCATGTATGATCAGTATTGAATACAATTAGTTGAAATGCACACAAATTTAAAAGGCGAGAAATGAAAATCGCGTTGGCTAAATGCAGGAACTGTTTTTCCCATTTGAATTTTTTTCTTCTTCTCCATTATCGTCTGGTAATCGAACGATACGAACATTACGGCGGGGTTTGTGTGAAAATCGTAAATCCTTTTCGTTGTTTGTGTGTTCGTTTCTAAAAATACGAGCGATTCCCTCTTTTTGTCCTCATTCCGATATCTTTGTCTGATTTCGGAGATTTTTTTTTTTTGGTTGACGGTTTTTCGTTGGCGTATTTAGATTTTTAGTACAAACACACAGGTCATTGGATCGTTTTTATGTTTGATTCCAATACTTCAAGCGAATGAGTCAAGTCTTGTCTTAGCGAAACGTACAAAAATATTTATCGTGAATTGTTTCGCTATAGGCCGGTCTCTATTTAGAAAAAAAAGAAAACGAAATCAAAATAATAATCGAACGGAAAAAAGGAAAAACAATCGATGTATATTTCATAGAAAAATCAATCAATTTATATCAAACAACGATTTATTACACATTTTTTTTCGGGTCGTGATTATGCAGATGGATAAGTTATTCGCAAGCACCAATAGAAAAAATCCGATAAAAAAGAATTACCTTATTTATCATATCAAATATTATCGAAATTATGATCTAATAGAAACGCTATAATATTAACTAAAATTCGAACGAACCATTTTTCGTTGGCATTCTGCATAAAATTAATTGATTATCTGATTAAGTCTATAACACATTATAATTGATTATATTGATTAACGATTGCTTTTGTTCATTAAAATAGGAAAAAAACACTCCACACGCATTGCCTTCCGCATTTAACCAAATATATAATATCAAAAACATATTGAAGTTTATCATTATAATGTTGACACATTTGCGATTAGAGTAATTTTCGTGAAGCGGTATATTTGGGGAACCATTTTTTTTGGTTCATATTATTGTCGAAGGCAGCAACGACGATATACAGGTGTTTTTTTAATTACAACTGAAACAATATATCGAAAAGAGCAAACACACGAATTTTATGTTATTTTGTAGATGACAAGTATTCGTTGATGGCAATTTAATCATATTTTCGGTTTTAATGTTAGTGAAGTTAAAACATGTTGTTAAATTAAATTCACACAGAAACAACCAACCAACTTTGACGAGACCAACAAAACATATTTGCGAATCTGTGCGGCAATGATGAAAAAACTGAGGTTTATTAAGCTAATATGTAATCTATATTATTATAAGTAATTGATGTGCGTCCAACAACTGTTGATGTACCGTATAAAATACATCTCATTAAAAAATAAAATTTGCTTATGTAAATCTCAAATGATCATTTTCACAAAACTGCACGCTCAGATTCCTGTTTTCTATTTTGATCGTACATACATACTGAACAGTTTATTATTTATCTTTATTAAAATATAATATACGAGCAAAGACAAGTGCCACCTACATTTCTATTATTGACACACAAATTCCAAACAGTTATTTAACCATTTTGTTGCTGCCCATTTTCATCGACAATTTTGATGCTAAAAATAAATCAACAGTAAAGCAAAAAGCGTTTGGTAAGTGTAGATATGAACATAATCAATAAATTGGACGATCCGATTTTTGTTGAGGAATTGTGATCGTGTATTTAATTGAATTTACACAAATTTGCTTTGTAAACGATTTAATATATTTGTTAGTTGTTATTGTTTTAATTTTTGCGTTTGAATTACGGTAGAGAGCAGACATCAAATACTGATAATGTCATTTATTGATTAATTTTGATCTCAATGGATTTTTAAATTCAATTTAATCAATCTTAGTTAGATCAGGAACTGTATTTTACATGAATAACGATGTGCGATAAAATGAAATTAATTGAAAATGGCCACATAATCAACGAAAAAGAATAGATCAAAAAATTATTAAATTATATTAACATAATTAAACGAAGTTTGAAAATATAAACATAAATAAGGAAATTAGGTGAAAAAAAGAAAACAAATGAGAATATTCATTTGGCACACAAAGTGGTAGGCATTCATTATCATTTAATATATATCTTTGTCATAACACAATTTCGCTGCTGAAATATATATATATATAAACTGTTTTTTTTTCTATTTCCATCAACTCATTTTGAACTTTTGCAAACAGACAGACTGAATACGAATCCTATGTTCAACTAGGACTAAAAAAATCATCGAAAATATTATGAACGGCAGCAAGTAGATGTCTCTAGATGTCCTCCTAAAAAGCTTAACGAAGCTAAGTCCATACAAATTTAATGGTAAAGACCGACATCTGTGTTTAAATAGCAAACTAGCCGACTATTTAAGGATCTTATGATATTCAGATGTCAGGATATGATGCATTAGTTGAAATATATCGCATTTAATCCAACATTTTAAATTTTTCAATGAATGTGCTGTAAATATTTTTACAATAGTGTACAAAAGTTCAAAATGGAAAATTTTCAGTAAAATTCGGACATGACATTATTCCGCTATATTTTTTATAATTCCAGTGATTCATATGTTAAAAATCGTAACAGTCATAGTCGAGTTTAATAAAGAAAGGAAAAAGATCATTTCGGTCTAACAAAAACAAGAAGAAAAATCTTCACCGTAGATTTTCGAGCAAAAGAAACACCATCGATGTCAATAAAATTATATATCAATTCTGTTATTTTGTTATCATGACATAAAAGAATATTGCGTATGTCATCTATGGTCTGCGTAATAAGTATTGCATTCAATTCAAAAGAAAATTATTATTTTGAGTAATAATAATCATCTATATTCGTCTTCGTTAAAAAGAATTTAAGCAATTACCTTCTGTGGATCAATTTCATCAAATTACTCAAAAGAGAACCGGATGTGTTCAATTAATTATTTTATTTTTCATATATGATTTTTATCAATAATTAAAGCTAAAATAGAGTAGAAAAAGAAAAGAGAACGAAACGCTTACCGTGCATGTCATCATTAGTGGCAAACAGGATATCTGTCGAATAGTAATCATTGTCGCCTCATTTCAGTATTAAAAATAGAACAACAGTAATGAAAATAATACACACCGAACACGGATTACCGACAAAAAAAGAAAAACCGAAATCGAATTGAAGCATGCAATCTGATATATCCAATGAATTTTTATTTAAATTACACCAAGTGTTGTGGTGTCATAATCATGATTATTGATCAGCTTACTAAGCCGATTTGTGGCATAGGGGAAATGACAATGTACAATAGACAATATCCACTAGATTCGAAGCAAATACAATCGTGTGATTGTCTTGAAAATTATTTGATGTCTTTTATGCGTATGCATATGAATGTGATGAATGTGTTCACCCCCAATTACCGATTATAATCAAATTCACACCTCATTCCAACGTATCATTAGCAACATCATGATTGTATATACTTCTGACCATTGCAACAAAAGGTCACTCAAATTTTGAAATTCATACGCACGAAAATTGAGAAAGTGGAAGTGATCGAAAACCAAAGGTTACATTTTGTGTCCCAATGGAATCGCTCTCTTCGATCGAAACAACAATTATAATTACATGTTCTTCAGTTCGTAAGCAATTATTTGATGATAGGTGTTATTGGTCTAACACGTATATCGGCTCGATTCAGACTGATAAACATCTCCTAATTAGTTTCGTTCTTTGTTGATTGTATGACATTTTAGTGGCACATCAACAGGCACAATGTACGTTACACCATCTCGTCTAATGTTCTCATATTATCTCATGATTGCTTTTGTTTCTACAGGTGTGTGTTTCTATCTTTTTGTCATATGGAAAAGTTTGGAGTGGTCAATAATTTGACCGAGTTGGCGAACAAAGAACATAATTGATTAACATTACCGACATTTTTTGATCACATTCCAACAGAATAAGAACTTTTAGTAATTCAAGTACTATCTCACCTATTTAAAAAGCAGTGTTTGAGTAAAGAGCCACTCTCTTATAAGGACGCTAAGTATTGTCATTTATCATATTTATTTTTTTTTGAAGAAATTCAATTTTTAATAGAAATGAGAGAGAACAATTAAAGAAATTGAAAAAAAAAAAACATCCGAAGCAAGTCCAAAGTAGACCGAACCGTGGACGGAGTTTTAAAAAAATTCATCGAAGAATAGTAAATCAAAACGCTGACATATTTTTTGCAGATTGTTTAAGCAGATAATTGCTTTAATTGATTTATTTATTGTATACTTTCTTCAAGTCCATTTCAACTTACAAAGAATAAACTAAAGAATTTCTTAACCTAACCGAACTCGTATACTTTGTTTTATATGCATTAATCATTACCATCCTCATCTTATTCATTATAATTTTTTTTTATTTTTTTTTATTAATATCATTATGTTATCATACTGTTTATATTAATACAACTATTGTTGATAAATTTTTTTGTGATTTTTCAGCTGAATTCATGTTTTTCGCACTATTACTATTCGCATATTCACTGAAAATGGTGTTTCTATCATTTATTTGTGGTATTCACGTAGAGGTTATAAGAATCATTATACGTACATTGGTTTTTTTTGTTGTCACTTTTCAATTACTTGAATTTCGAGACATAATCAAAAATTGTGTGTCAGCATTAAGTAATCACATTGGTCGTCGTCATAACTGTAATCCAATGCGAATTTTAATGTTGACGCATATATTTTCGTTAAATAAATTATCATGCTAATTATGCATAACCGAAATACAGATGGTGGTTAAAATTTTACTTGGTTATGAAATAAGGGAAAAAGAATTAAATTTAAACTCATATAAGATTCAAACCACAAGAGAAAAAAAAATACAGTTTAAATGTTACAAAAAATAAACGTGAAGGAAGAATTATTTGATTAATATAAACAAAATTGTATATTGGCATGATTTAGATATGTGCTATTAGGCCATGGCCAAACCTTTGTTTATACTTTCTAAATGCTCTTTAGCTTTGATACGTAATGTGGCTATGGAATTGGTTCTCATGTCGGTGTTCAGTCCGACATCTTTATTATTTGAACCGAGATCGTTGAGCGTATCGCTATTATCGTCATACTGGCTTAATTGTGTCGACATCAATTTATCATTTGAATTGGATAAATTTTCGGGCGATGACGATGAATTTGGTGATATGATACGGGCATTGCTCGATCGGGCGCTAATTACTTGCGAATTGGTTGTTAAATTTTGTGGCGATGAAATTGGCGCGATCGGAGGTAGGGACTGTGCTTGTGCAGCCAATACAGCTGCTGGCGGTAATGGAATTTGATTCGGCGGTGTATGACGATGCGTTGCTAACATCTGCGATGATAAACCAGATGGACCGTTTGGATGTTGAGGCGATGATAATCGCATATTTTGTGGATGTGCCAAACCAAGACCGGACATTGCAATATTTGCTGGCGTTAAACTCAATGGTGGCGTCAAATAACTCGGATAAACCGTTTGTGGATGTGACAAAAAGCCTGCAAAACCAAAATTAAAAACCAAAGAAAAGAAGAGAAAAAAGCACACACAAACAATTACAATTAATTGACTTCGTATTTATTGTTGTGGTTGGAATTATGCGTGTCTTACCTGGTAGCGCAGAGAGAAGAGGCGGTGACAACCATGTATCCATTGGCAGACTACCATTGCAGCCCATGCGGTGAGGCAATTGAGAAAAGTGCGACAATCCAAGACGTAAACTTTCCGATTTCTCTTGACGTCTCCATTTGGCTCGACGATTTTGAAACCAAACCTGCGGGATAACAACAAAAAAAGCATTGAACAACTTTGAATATATCTTTCGTCGAGTTTTATTTAAAAACCAATTGATTTCTCTCTTCTTTTTTTTTGCATTTCGCAAAATGTTTGCCACCGTTTTCATTGTCGCATTGAATTAAAAGGCAAGTAAACAAAATAAATGGTGAAGGCAACAGACGAAATTATATACATAGAGCAAGAGTACAAAAGAGAGCAGCGTTTGTCTGGAAAACGGTGCTTATTATGTTGTCTGATACATTCGGCACACAGCAGCGCTGCTTGGGCACACAAGCGCATTTGAACGTAGACACACAGAGAAAGAGAGACACACAGCAAAAGTCATGGAGAAACGAACCTAATTAAATTGTTGGCACGTGCACGAACAAAAAGTTATATCTTATTGGCTCCCATTGTTAATGCAATCATGCCCCGCATACGCGCACACAACGTATCACAAATGTATACAATAATATAAAATACATTGTTTCTTCCACGTCTGTTGTATTCAATACACACAAAATTCAACCGGCAACACATCACATATTATGAAATGGCGCCTTTACAATCTTTTTTGCTGTCATTGTATTTATACGATATTTGCCTCTGTTATCAGTGTGAAATGTCCATAATAATATACTAGAACTGCGACTGCTCGTTCAAAAAATATATGCTTTTGATATGAAAATTGCTACTTAAACAAATCTTTTCATTTTAGTTGTTTTCAAGGGACTATTAGAGTTAAAGGGATTCAAACATTTAGAAATTATTCTTTGCATATTTAAAAACACAATAATTTTAATTTTCAATACAAAAAAACGAATAATACTCAATAAATGAAAATAATAAAAAAAAGAAAAAAGAAACACGAAAAGAGCAGTTTTCAATGTTAGCCGATCGGCGGTATGTTCATCCTTTACCAGATCGTTTTTTTTTAGTCACCATATTCTCTTGAGTGGCATAGTGATCATATTGTAACTGTCAATACATTTTTAGGGTTGAAATGTGAATATTTCAAATCGTTTTTTAATTAACCCAAAGGGACTAGGATTTGTGTAAATAAAAACGTGTGTTTCAGATTATATTCGCTCAGATTCACCCTTGAAATGAACATTTTGTGCAAACGGTTAATCTGGGCCTGGTAACAACAACAATATTAACGGCAATCAGATACCGTTTTTGTTTCATACTGACTGAATGGCGACATTTCAAGAGCATTTTGAGTGCATGAAATGAGAATAAAGTGTGCAAGTACGCCGTATACTCATGTGAAACTTGAGAAATATACTGTTTGTCAAATATAGACGAAAAATACATCTATATTTGTTCTGTCATTCTGATGAGTCGACCCCAAAAAAAAAGTCGACGACTAAAAAGTAAAAAACCAGCAAGGAGTAAGAGAGAAAATAGTCGAGGAAAAAGAGACAAAAATGGCATGCTCAGAACAAAAGTTTGGCAAATATAATCAACGAACCTATTTATCATTTCAAAATCGATTCATTTATTTATCTATGTGATTTTCTGTATGGTTGGATATGAGTCAATGTACAATGGTATCAATTTAATAAAGTATCTTTATATCGACCTTGGTCGAGTTATGAGCGCTCAAGAATCTATTCAAAATTAATTTAAATAAATAAATAAAACAATTGCCCTTGTTCGATATTCGTTGGCAAACAAAATCATCTAGTCAATTTAATGTGGTACATTTCACGTTTCCTCACTCGAATGTTCTATTTACATTCGACTTATATTTGATGATATTTTATTCGATGCGATTTGAAATAAAATCTAAACTGTCCGGATGCTTGTGAATCAAGGGAGATTTGAGTAAAATAAAGAGGATTTCTTTTATTTTTTGCCAACTGTTTTCTTCCTGTATTGTTTGCAAATTAAATTAGTCCGATTGCAATTCTCTCACATTCGAGCGATGTGTAAGCGGCGTTATTTTATGATCGGATTCGGTGGTTTTTGTGTTGCGCGTCGCTTTTTTGCAAATCATCGGTGGATGTGTGCCGCTACCGCGGCTTTAGATCACATAAAGCGGCCTCTTAAGTGAAATCCGACACTAGTTAGTTAGATTCAATCGACTGCCGCCGAGACACGAGATCAACATCCAACTGGATGATGTGTGTGTGTGTGTGGTTTTCTCTCTTGATTTTTTCTTCTTCACTTCTTTCTTTTGTTATTGCTGTTGCTGTTCTATACCATAATTTGCACAATTTGAATTACTCACAAACAGGTAAATCATGAGAGCCGCATTGTTTCTCCTTCTTTTTCTCCCATTTGTTTATTTTTTTCTTACCACAATGGTAAATATAATGCGTTTCTTTTTCAATACAAATGAATGTAAACTCGGCAAATGCTCGACTCTTTTGTAATAAAATATAAAAGGATCATTAAGATGAAACTGGATGGATGGAGATGATGAAGAAAAGTGTGTCTCAATTAAAAATTACGGAAAAACAAACCATCGCCGCTTAAATACATTTCATTTTGAATTTCGCACATTTTCGGGCATTAGACGATCATGTCAGAAATTGGGTTTATTGCAAACAAACACACATATCAGACATTTTTTTTTCGTTCGCAAATACTTTCATTTCCTTAAATGAATTTTAATCGGTAACGCTACAGGCTCCAACGCCGACAGCACACCGACATATTATTCGATTTAATTGTAATATGCTGCGACCTACTACAAAAAGAAGAAGGCATATTTAACTGTATGTGTGTTCAAACAAAAGAAATTCGGTAATTTTAGTTGATCCAAACAAATGTTCTTCGGCAGATGAAATTTGTTCGGCTGCGAAAATGCATACGAAACATATTTGAATGATGGGAAAATTCATGGATCAATGAAAATGATACATGGCTAAGATAAAGCGAAACAAATGTAATGCCGAAAAAAAGACAAATTAACCACTTGTGATAAATGAAGGGAAATAAAAAAAACGTACTTCCTAAATGCTACAAATTATCTGAAAATAATCCCTTTTATTTATGTTTCTCCTTTTTTGTGTGTGTGAGAGTACTCTCACTCTCACTCTATTTGTTCTATTGTTGATGCTCTTCATCAAATTGAAATGTGCGTTGAGTGACGTCGCGTCTTGTGTGTCAATTGTCGAGTGTCATGTATGCATTACTCATCAAAAAGTTGCATTGGATTTTTGCAAGTCGCACAATTTTTTTTTATTCGCAAAGGCGAATGCAAAAGTTTCGATACATCGAGGTCATTTTCTGTCGAAAACGAAGGTAGCTGGAAAGGGCCTGTTCACATTCTCATAACATATTGCAATGTTCACTTTCACTTCGGCTTGTCATCTCTGTACATTTGCCACTCTGTCGATTGTCTCGTTTTTTTTTCTTTGTGTGTGCCACGGTTAAATTGCATTCAAGTGTTTGTATGCTACAAAACACAGTCAATGATCCTGTTTGTGATTCGCTTCGTTTCGTTTTATATTTAAAAACAACAATAGCTTGTGAACAAATACTTGGTACATGTGCAAATTTCGATAGAACAACACTACAAAGAAAAAGAAGTAAAACCACGAGAAAGAAACACGAGAAAAAAAAGGATATCGAAAAGGAGAATAGAGAGAAACAAAAACAGTACAACTAGATTATTAGCCGTATTAAGAATCATTTCCACAATTATTTAATGTCGTTTGTATTTATTTGTGTTGTGTTATGTTTTGCATTGTATTGTTGTTCGTCACTATTATTTTCTTGCTTTTGCATTTGATATATCCAGTGTGCATGCTCTATTTTTATTGGCCATTAATGTGTCACACACATTTTCTCCCTCTCGCCATACAGTGTCACTCTCTTTCTCTCTGGGTTGTTGCCGATCTTTTTTCGTCGGTTGAGAGAGTCGTCGCACAAACAGCCAGCAAATGTATTTATTGGAATAGTAGAAAAAACAACAATAACAACAATCTGATGTCGAGACCAAAGCAACAGGAAAAACATTGAATTTTGCGGGTTAGTGCACACATTTATAACGGATCTCAACTGTATGATAGGTGGCCCACTTGTGACAGTTGCAACGAATTAGAAAAGAATCGTCGCTTTTTTCGACATCGTCGTCGTCGATGCAAATCTAACCAGAGGGGTTTGCGTGATAATGACTATGTATGTTTATAAATTTCAAGTACAATTTACTTATACACACACGCGCGCTTTCATTCGGAGAAAGCAAAAATAAAACGGGAGTGAGTGCAAAACGTTCTTGGTTTCATGTATCCTCTGTACATCTCATGACCGTACAACACACATCAATTCTCTTTCAACTCAATAAAATAGTAAACTATTGGGCATTACAATTTGGCTTTTCAGAGGGTTCGCCACCGCCATACAACAAACGCCTTTTGTATTATGCTGTGCACTGAGCGTGAAATATGATTGAAAACACATTTGATTTGTGTCTCTATTAATCGGGATTAAAAGATCATTAACACTGAAAATATCATTTGTCAGTTGTGTCTGACTACAAAATATGTCGAAAAATACACACCGCATAATAACATAAAAACATTATGCATGGTAGATTTGTGTGAAAATTCAATTATTATCCGAAACGAAGACGATGCCTTGATAAAGCACTCTAATAAAGCTATATTTACATTAATCGTTTGATACATTGTTGTAATAAATGTTGCCTTGATCGTGTAAATACGTCGTTGTTTTAGTTTGAAAAACTTCTACCAATGCATACCTAATGCCAACATAAACAATACAACCAGCCAAACGATAGCAATTTTCATTTAGTAAATGTGTATAATTTTGAGTGGTAGGTAAAAGTAATAACATTTAAACAATATAGTCGTTGTTATTTGTTTGTTTTCGAAATAAAATTGGGTTAATTTCATTAGTCAAAACTTTTGATGATTGAAAATTGAATTATGGAACATAAATTTTATGTGAACAGATGTACAAGAATGGCAAAAAGTTTATGTTGAAATTTTACGAGCATTAAATGCATAACAAAGGGCACAT